CGGCCACTTCTGCTCTCTCTCCTTGTGCAGGATCAATGGTCTGGTGTCCGCCCCCTCCTGCTGGGCCCCTCCCACAGCTCTGCTCTCTGCACAGAAGACATGTGCACCAGCAAAAAATTCGTTTTGATTCCGATTTAGCTTTATTTCGTTTCGGAATTCGGACTAAATTCGTTAGCGCTAATCCGTACAAAATTTCGTTTAGTTTCAGTTTCTTTGTTCTCAAATGTTTTTCATCCAAAAAAACGAAAGTTCGTCCAAAAAAAACGAATCGGAAATTCCGGATTCGTTTGTATTCGTTAGATCTGTAATTCGGATACCTCCGAATTTCTGAAATTTCGTCCGATTCGGAACGAAACGAACGGCGCATGTCTACTGCACACTGCCCAGGCTACGTACAGCACAGTGATGATGTCACTGCTAATATACAAGGTAATGACTAGGATAGTCAAGTCAGTTGGTGCAGACAAAGTGGATTTCTATCCTTTGTGGTTAATGAAAAACATCTTTATTTTAACATTTTGTCCCCGGAGTTCGGCTTTAAACAAACAAACCACGACAGCGGCAGGGCCTGTCCTCAGGCAGCGCGGTGTCGTGTAATGAGGGACGTATGATACAGACGAAGCCGTTACACCCGTTATGAGGCTCAGTGTGCTGTGGAGTCTGATAAGGAGAACAAGTTATAATTTCCCTTCATGCATTATAAATGCTAATTAGACCCTCCGAGGAGCAAATTACGGCTTCCAGGTTTCCAAGTTTCTGTTTATCCGGCGCGATCCGCAACGCTTCCTAAACAATAATTTAGAGTAAACGGCTCGTTGGCCATTCTATTCCCTTAATGGGCCGGCCGGGGAGGTCATATAAATGATTTAAACACCTTTCACTGCTAATGAATATGTTTTAGTTAAAGCCGAGTTGGCCTTAAAGCTGAAGTTTAAAGGAGAACTACGGGGTCGGGGCTTTCCCCCATAGTTCTCCTTAGGGTAACGGGAGGACGCAAACTAGCGTCCTCCCGTCACCCTAGGCTCGGTATATAGGGAGCTACAGCTCGCGGTATACTGAGACGCCGCAGCGGATCCCGACAATTATGTCTGGATCTGCCCAGCTGCGTGAGTGACAGCTGGCTCTGCCTATCTAGAGGCAGAGCCAGCTGTACCCGCCCCCTCCCCCGTCCGTTCCGCCAGTCAGC